GTCGGGCAAGCCCCCAAACCCTAGACCCAGACCCTAAACCCCAAACCCTAGACCCTAAACCCCAAACCCTAAACCCCAAACCCTAGACCCCTAAACCCTCAAAGCCGAAAGTTCGGTAATCATAATCTCCAGATGCAATTCAACGGCTTCAGCGCGAGGTATGACACTCCCCCCGGCCCTGAGCCTCAAGATAGCTACAAGCGCTGCAGGGGGTATACCCAAGCTCTCTCTCTCTCTCTCTCTCTCTCTCTCTCTCTCTCTCTCTCTCTCTCTCTCTCTCTCTCTCTCTCTCTCTCTCTTCTCTCTCTCGATTTAAAGAGGTTTTAGGGTTTTGGGGGGGGGGGTGGGGAAGGAGTCGGGAGGGGGGGGAGAGGGGGGTTGGGGTTGGGGTAGGAAGTGGTAGTGGTGCTATCCCAGCTTGAATGAGGGCCTTCCATGAGACCACTTCAACCCTTTATAAGGCCGGAGAGAATCATTCTGCGGGGGGATCTAAGTCTCAAGTCCTCCTTTTTTTCAGGGATCCTATGGGTTAAGAGGGGAACATACGGGTTCAGGGTTCAGGGTTAGGGTTTAGGTGTTGTTTGAAAACAATACCTTAAAGTGAGGGCCTTGGGCGTTATGGGGTGATATAGGAGTCGGAATAGTTACTAATAGTATTCCCTCATCGTCCCTTTGTATATTTTTATATGGTAATATATATATATATATATATATATATATATTATATATATTATATATATTATATATATTATATATATTATATATATTATATATATTATATATATTATATATATTATATATATTATATATATTATACATGTACTAGAATATTTCTTTCGACGCAACAGAGCCATGTCCGCTTGCCCTCCCAAAACCCATTATTAACAGCCCGACATTATAGGGTTTAGGGTTTAGGGTTTAGGGTTTGGGGGTACAGACCCCAACTAAGGACCCGCACTCTTGGCCCCGTGGCAACGCTTTCGGGTTCAGATTCTTCAGTTAGGGTTCAGGGTTCAGGGTTCAGGGTTTAGGGTTTAGGGTTTAGGGTTTAGGGTTAGGGTTTGGGGGGAACATGATCTTACAACGATTGCGCAGGTGGAGGAGACTGACGATGTCCGAAGCTCAGCCCCGACACCTGTAGGATAGAGTTTAGGGTTTAGGGTTTAGGGTTTAGGGTTTAGGGTGTAGGGTTTAGGTTTTAATTAGGGTTTAGGGTTTAAGGTTTAGGGTTTAGTATAGAGTTCAGGGTGGGCATGTTGGGCAGTTCATAGTATCAGCAGAAAGGTGTCGAACGGGGATTGAGTTGCAATTGTTGGGCCCCAGTGTTATGCTCTACGGGGGGTTTAGGGTTTAGGGTTTTCTGGTTTAGGGCTTAGGGTTTAGAAGCCCTAAACCCTAAACCCTAAACCCTCAACCCTAAACCCCAAACCCTAAACCCTAAACCCTAAACCCTCTCAACCCTCCCAAGCCCGCACTGCTCAGAAGGCTCCCTGGTTGCAATTTTCGGGCCCCAGTGTTATGCTCTACAGGGGGTTTAGGGTTTACTGGTTTAGGGCTTAGGGTTTAGAAGCCCTAAACCCTAAACCCTAAACCCTAAACCCTAAACCCCAAGCCCTAAACCCCAAACTTTAGGGTTTGGGGGCCCCTCGGTCCAGGCACGTCCCCAATGCTTTGCAGCTTCAGCTGCGGCCCACAACTTACTTCGCCTTTAGTTGAACTTTTTGGGTTTCCTTATTTGGTAGGAATATTAAAGTTTAACCTTTTTTCCCCCATGGCTATAGGAGAAGTAAGGTAAAAAGACCCGAGCGTAAAGGAAAGACTCAAAACGCCAACACCTTAAATTTATGGTTTAGGGTTTAGGGGTTTAGGGGTTTAGGGGTTAGGGTTTAGGGTTTAGGGGTTTAGGGGTTTAGGGGTTTAGGGTTTAGGGTTTAGGGTTTAGGGTTTAGGGCCTTAAGTCCTCCGGCCCTGTATCAGTGGGTTTCCGAAATGACGGGGTGCGTGGTTGCCTAGGACCCAGAGTAGGCCCTTGTTCTGTTTTTTGCTGTTTAGGTTCCCTTATAAGCCCCTTTAAGCGGGCATCCTGTATCCATTTTATTCCTTGGTTACTCCTGGGTCACCCTAAACCCTTAAACCCTTGAACCCTTAAACCCTTAAACCCCTAAACCCTAAACCCTGAACCCTGAACCCTGAAACCTAGACCGATACGCTGGGGTCTAGTTGAGGTGCAGCGGGTCATCCAAACCTGCAAGGGCTTCATTGCCCGGCTTGAAGAGGAGCGACTTGAGGGTATCCTCCCTTAATGTAGGGTTTAGGGTTTAGGGTTTAGGGTTTAGGGTTTAGGGTTTAGGGTTTAGGGTTTAGGTTTTAGGGTTTAGGGTTTAGAGTTTAGGGTTTCGGCTTTTTTCCAATAAAACCCCTGCATGGTCAGTTCTCTAAATTTAGGGTCCCCTTGTTGGGTGCCCCAAAAGAGAGGGGCCGCCCGATGATAAGGACCCCAAAAGGGACCATGCTTTAGACAAGTGACCATCTATACCTTATACAGTTCCTATATAGCTGTATATGGCTCCTATATACCTAAGTAGCCCCGATGTAGCCCTTATGGTCCCTTATAAGGACCCTCCTTTCGTTCCTGGAGTCCTGCGTGAACACACTGAGGGGGTTCTCAAGACCAAGGGTGCGCGCATTTTGGTGGTTCCTAGGGTTTAGAGTTTGGGGTTTAGGGTTTAGGATTGTAGTGCTTTGGGGTACTCTGGAGGGGTACCCCTACTTTGGAAATTTCACAACTCGGCAGGACTTAGAGCGTCAAACTCCTTTTGGGGGGCACATCGGCCAAGAAACCTGAAGCAAAGAGACGGGAACCCTCCTTGGAGGTTCAATAATTACGAGCAGGGTTGAAGGCTTGGGTTTAGTGTTTAGGGTTTTCGCTGCGAGTGCGCTTCGACCCCTTGATGAAGTGGTTGGCGCATGAGCTGCAATGCTCACTCTCCCACCGGACGGGTTTGGGGTCGGGGTTGTCTACCCCCCTCCAACACTATCAAGGGCGATCATATGGTTTGGTGGAGCAATCGTCTACTGTAGCCCAACGCTAAGAGTAAGGAGCAAAAAGGTAGCTTTCGGGAAAACAAGAGGTTTGGGCGGCGGGGGGGGCCCTTCGGCCGTTTTGGAAGTTGTTCTTACCCTTACTTCGCCTTTAGTTGAACTTTAAACTTTTTGGGCTTCCTTATTTGGTAGGAATATTAAAGTTTAACCTTTTTTCCCCTTGGCTATAGGAGAAGTAAGACCCACCTTCTTCACCTTTCGCTTCAGGAAGCAAAAGCAAAGGGCCGCGGATCTTCCCAGCCCTTTCAGGAATGCTTTCGGCAAAAGTGGCAGGCCTTAATTTTAGATCATTTGAGGTCCCAAGCCCTTAATTTAAGCTTCCGGGCCTGAAATGCCTCCGGACCTCAACTGAAGCTTGTTTTTTTTGCCTCCGGGCCTTAATTTTTCAGAATCCCGAACCCTTCTCCAGTCTCTCCTTTTAAGTCCCAATTACATCTCCGGGCTTTTATTTAAGCTTCCGGGCCTTAACAGCTTAACTCTCGCTTCGGGACCTTGATGAAAGTGTCCGGCCATGAATTTAGGTCCCCAAACCCTTAATTTTCGCCTCCGGGCCTTCATTGTAAGTCCCAAACCCTTCTTCAGGCCCGAATCTTCAGCCCCGATTCAGCCTCCGCGCCTAAACCCTACACCCTAAACCCGAAACCCTAAACCCCAAACCCTATAAACCCTATAGACCCTAAACCCTAAACATTTTCGCTTCAGCACCTTTTGGAGCTCCAGCTGCCTTTGCTCTGACAGGAAGTCACGCATCCCCGGTCGTTTGCACTGAGGTTCAGGGCGATCATTATCTGGGTAACGGTTTAGGGTTTAGGGTTTAGGGTTTAGGGTTGTCAAAAGTGTGGTCCCTTTTTGGATCCCTATTATAGTACGGCACCGAATATGTAGGGGACCCCAAAAGGGATCACAGTTTTGACACCCCAAACCCGAAACCCTAAACCCTAAACCCTAAAACCATGTAGGCTTCCGGTCAGGGACAGCCAGGCTCGGTCCGGCAGCCCGCACCGACATGCCCCATTCTTGGGGGCCCGGTCTTGAGTTTAGGGTTTAGGGTTTAGGCGCCCAGCTGTGAGTATCTATGGACCTGCGTGTAAACCCCAAACCCTCAACCTCAGCATATCCCCTAAACCCTAAACCCTAAACGCTCTTGAGCTTCAAGCCGGGATCGTCAGCCCCCGAGTCTGTTACCCAAGACCCCAAAGCCAAAGGCTATCGGCCCGGTAGTAGCCCTAAACCCTAAACCCTAAACCCTAAACCCTAAACCCTAAACCCTAAACACCTTGAGCCCCGCAAACCCCTAAAAACCTAAACCCCTATAACCCCTGAACCCTGAACTCCTACACCCCTAACAAGCAAAACCCTAACCCTAAACCCTAAAAAATGACCATGATTTAGAGAAGCGACCAACTAATCTCCTATAGTAAACCACGTAGAAACCAAAACCCTCAAACCCCAACTCCTGCACCCCTCAACCCTAGCCCTAAACCCTAAACCCTAAACCCTAAACCCTAAACCCGAAACCCTAAACCCTCAACCCTAGCCCTAAACCCTAAACCCTGAATCCTGAACCCTAGAGCCCTGACTCCGAAAACCTTACAGGACCACGATGCTTGGGCGAAGCAGGCACTTCGGCCCTGGACCCCGATCACCGGCCGCCAGGGGCACCCAGCTGCGGGTTTAGGGTTTAGGGTTTAGGGTTTAGGGTTTAGGGTTTAGGGTTTAGGGTTTAGGGTTTAGGGTTAGGGTTTAGGGTGTCAAGGCTTCCAAGGAATTCCCAAAATACCACCTGACAAGCCGGCGCCAGGATAAACCGGGGGCTTGCTGCTTGCTATGTTTCTTTCCAAGCAGGCGTTTAAAGCCTCCTGGAGCATTTTTCCCTTGCTGTAGACTCGACTGCTCGCATGGCTACACAAATCCCTCTTAGTTGGCGAGCTGGCGGGTCGGCGGAAGCAGATGTGTGGCTTGTGTGGTGTTTCGAGCATTGCTTGAAGCCCGAGCGCAGCGACGTACGAGAAGACTTGAAGCATCTGGCGACAACGGCTGGTTGCAAGTTCGTTTGCCACAAGAAGTCGATGAACTTTTTCGGCTGGCTCGATGGCAGGAAGGGTACCAAACTGATCATCGCAGACTGGCGAGAAGCGAAGCCCATCATTGAAGAGCTCAGCAGGCACAAGCACCGTTCCGACGTCCGCATGTGCGTGGTCGCACGGTCGGAGAAGATGTTTCGCCGCGCATCTGTCTTCGTGGAGAAGCAGACGATGGGAGCCGAGATCATGGTGACGTCGGACTTCTCGCGTGACAGCGTGGAGGAGTTCGTCCTTACTTGCGTGCGGACATGCAAGACATCACCATGCAAGGAGGGCAGTTGCGAAATAGAGACCCCTAGTATAGATCCCAAAAAGTGGTTTAGGGGTTTAGGGTTTGTGGTTTTGGACCCCCAAAGAGTAGGATTCCCTTGTAATAAGGACCCCCAAAAAGGTAACCCCCAAATCTTGGAAACCCCCAGGAGGTGCGGCCCAAGCCCACCGAGATGCTTCGCTGGTTGTCTTTGCCTCATCTTCTTGAAGCAGTCCCTGGGTAGGCCCTTGGAACTTTTTATATATTTTCCTGTATTTGGGTTTAAGAGGATCATATTCAGGATTTTTTTTTCAGAGGGATTTTGAGGGTCATCCCAGGTCCAGGACCCCAAGACAGCTGCCTCGCTGGAAGATCTCCTCCAGCAAACCATGCAGCAAGTCTATGAGGACTGAGAACCATTGGCAACCGGCGCACTATTTTCAGCTTGCACAGCTCCAGCAAACCATGCAGCAAGTCTATGAGGACTGAGAATCATTGGCGACTGGCGCAAGAATTATTTTCAGCTTGTACAGCAGTCCCGGGCCCTATTTTAGGGACCTTTTTTTGGTTCAGTGCCCTTTTTTTTTGACAGGTCTCCGGTCCAAGACCACAAGCTCCTGTCGTGCGAGATTGGGACAAGCAGTGCCCACTTCCGCACAAGAAACCCGACTTCTTTGGACGAAAAGTGCCCGCAGCAGGCTCCAGGCCCCAATGAAAGGAAGCCCGGAATAAACCCTTAACCCTAAACCCTAAACTCTAGAGCCAACAGCGGTTTCAGTTTCTCAGCCACCCCACATACTTCGCTTACCTTGCACTCGGGGCTACACACACCCACACCCCAAAAGAGAATCTGAAACCTGATGGCTACATGGGAGCTTGAATAAGCAGCAACATCCGAAGCCCTACTAAGCCTTTATTATAGCCCTACGCTAGTTTAGGGTTTTAGGGTTTAGGGTTTAGGGTTTAGGGTTTAGGGTTTAGGGTTTAGGCTGTGCAATGTTACAAGACCTATACAAAGTCCTGTCAGCCCCTAAAATTTGGGATGTTCCCCTTATACTAACAGCCCTTCATAGGGATTATAGTACCCCCGATGATCATCCTTACTAAGGACGGTTGATATAAGGCGCGGAACATCCTAAACCCTAAACCGGAAACCCTAAACCCTAAACCCTCCCTAGGCCCTAAACCCGAAACCCTAACCCTCCCTAAGCCCTGTACACCCTAGAGCCCTAAACCCTCCCTAAGCCCTGCACCCTCAACTCTAAACCCGAAGAATCCTATACCCTAAACCCTCCCCAAGCTCTAAACCCTCAACCCTAAACCCTAAAAACCGTTAACCCTGAACCCTTCCGAAGCCCTAAACCTTCAGCCCTAAACCCTTCGAACCCTAACCCTAAACCCCTAAAGCCGAAAACCCTCAAGCCTAAAACCCCTAAACACTCCTAAGCCCCAAACCCTACATTCTCTGCTGAGGACTAAACCCTAAACCCTGAACCCCTAAACCCTAAACCCTAAACCCTGAACCCCAAACCCTAGACCCTAACCCTAAACCCTAAACCCTAAACCCTAAACCCTAAACCCTAAACCCTAAACCCTAAACCCTAAACCCTAAACCCTCCATTCTCCCCGAGGCCAGGACCCGGAGCCGCTGTCCCCGAAGCCCCAGTGGCCCGAGTCGCCGAAGGTGGCGCTGCACAGGCGGGGGGGGGGGGGTTAGGGTTTAGGGTTTAGGTTTAGGGTTTAGGGTTTAGGGTTTAGGGTTTAGGGTTTTAGGGTTTAGGGTTTAGGGTTTAGGGTTTAGGGTTTAGTCTTCTGGCTGGGTTTTGGTCAGAACCCCCAACCTGGGCCCTGACCCCACAGCCTTCGCAAAGCACTGAGTCTCCGGGGGAAGATTTAGGATTTAGGGCTTAGGGTTTGGGGTTTGGGGTTTAGGGTTTATTTTTGTTTAGGGTTTATAGAAGTTGTCTAGGGTTTGGGCCCCAACAACGTTTTCAACGAAATCTCTTTAGACTCATCCCATGTCTGGGTGGGAACCGAAACGTGTCCGGACGTGAAGATCTCATATGTTTTAACAGTAGTTTTAGGTTTAGGGTTTAGGGTTTAGGGTTTTTTAGGGTTCTGGAGAGTAATTTGGCATTCTTTGAAGTAGTAGGTTTTTGGGTCTCAAATAATGTTTTCGAGCGATTTTTTGAACGAAACGGTGGAGTGAAACAGCCCCTTGGATGCCCTAACATGGTAGAATTGGGGTATAATGTACAGTTGCTATTGGGTTAGCAAGTACCATGAATCTCCAAGTAGAACCCAAAAACCTTTTCTCCTCCCTCCATGCTCAAGCCATGAAAGTCAAACCCTAGAACCCTAAAACTTGGGATGCTCCCCCTTATACGAACAGTCTTTGATACAAATTACCCTACAGCCGATTGTAATCATCACTAAGGACTGTTAGTAAAGGGGGAACATCCCAACCCTAAACCCTAAACCCCAAAACCCTAAACCCTCAACCCTAAAGAAAAGCCTAAGACCGCTAGAGCCTACATGCCGGCACTCCCATGATGCAGGAAACGCCTCGGCTGGAATGAGTCCAGATCTCAGCTGTCGGGTGATTCGAGCTGAAGAACCCAGCCCCGAACCCGAAACCCTAAACCCTAAACCCTAAACCCTAACCCTTAACCCTTAACCCTAACCCTATAACCCTATAACCCTAAACCCCTGCAAGCTTTCCGGAGCAGGCCTACCCTTCGCAGGCATTTCCGCACTAAACCCGAAGGCCTAAGAGCCTTCATCTAGTTAACAGGCCCGGCGGTGGAGGGTCAACAAGTCAGTTTAGGGTTTAGGGTTTAGGGTTTAGGGTTTAGGGTCTAGGGTCTAGGGTCTAGGGTCTAGGGTTTTAGGGGGGGGGGGGAGGGGGATCCTTTCGAGTCCTTTCAGTTTACCTGTCGTACATACTGCTTTTAAACACCAACAGCATAGCTCAAGCAATGCAACCAAAGCCCTCCCAGCTGCCAGTAGTGTACTCTTTAGCTCAACTGCGGTTGATATGAAATAGAACTCCATGACATAAGTTGCATCGCAACATTTCCTTCTATAAATGGCCCTCAAACACCACAAAGTATACTGAACAGCCCTAACCCTCAAAAACCCTAAGCCCCGCCCTACACCCTAAACAACCCTAAACCCTAAACCCTAGCCCTAAACCCTAAACCCTAAACCCTAAACCCTAAACCCTAAACCCGAAGCTTTTCCCGCAGCTCGTGGATCTTCAGGGAGATCTGGAGTCCCACACGGGAAGCCGAAGAAGGAGAGTCGCAGAGGGTTTAGGGTTTAGGGTTTAGGGTTTAGGGTTTAGGGTTTAGGGTGAGTGGTTTTTGGGGGCTTCGGGTTGGGTGAAGGGTTGTAGGGATTAGGGTTTTGGTTTGGGGTTTGGGGTTTAGGGTTTAGGGTTTAGGGTTTAGGGTTTAGGGTTAAGGGTTTCAGGGTTTGGGGACCTAAGGGGGTTGGGAGGGAAATGTTGGGATGTTTGGGTTTTTGTTAAGGGAAATGTGGGGATGTTTGGGTTTGTTAGGGGTTTGGGGATGTTAGAGCTTTTTTTGCGGGATCAAGTGTGCAGGAAACCGTTCCATTTGATGCGGTGTACGAGTGCGCGTGATTTTTGCGTAGTCTGCGCAGGCATCCGGCCTTGTGCATGGATATAGTCTTTTCTTTGAGGGTTTCGGGCCTTTAGGCTTTAGGGAGGATGTGCCCCTTTCGAGCCCAGGCATCTACTGCAGAACAAAAAGGTAGGTTTGTGTGTGAAACATGTTTTTGGTGTGTGTATTTAGCTCTAGCTCTCCTTGCCCTTATTGATTTTGGTGGGTGTATACTTGGGAGTCGCCATTGGGGAATGCTAGTAAGATCAGCCATGGGTCATATCGGTACATGGGTACGTGGATTGACATGGATCCTTCTCTGAGGATTGGGGGGCGTGGAGGTGCGATGTGGGTTCGGTGTTGGGACGCGTTGAGTTCTTAGCACTAGACATCCCTCAACCCTAAATCTTCATGTTGTATGATGGGGGTTTCGGGTTTCGGTCTTCTGGAAGGGATGAAGGCCTAAAACCCCAAACTTCAGACTATTGTGGGCTTAAATAAACCCCAAACCCCAAACCTCAAACCCTAAACCCTAAACTTAAACCCTCAAGCCCCTGTAACTTGAAATTATTCAAAAGTCCAAAAACGAAACTTTACGCGAAACTCCTCGAAACTTTCCCCGGACCTGAACAGTGAGTAATTTCAAACCCTAAACCCAAAACCCTGAACTCTAAACCCTACACCCCAAACCCTAAACCCTAAACCCTAAAACCCTAAACCCTACAACAACCAAAGTTCCACACTGGAGGAGAGGTGGTACCAGACCCACCAGCCGAGGAGGAGGTCGCATCCCGAGTTGCTGGTACTTAGGGTTTAGGGTTTAGGGTTTAGGGTTTAGGGTTTCGGGTTTAGGGTTTAGGGTTTAGGGCGTTTCAGGGTTTGGGGTTTAGGCTGTAGGGTTTAGGGTTTAGGGCTTCGGGCTTGGGGTTTAAGGGTTAGGGTTTGGGGGGTTTAGGCTTTTGGGGTTTCAGGGTTTAGGTCCCTTCATGCCCCTTCTAGCCCGTACATAGAACAAAAAGTACCCAACATACCGGTTCCCGAACCCTAAACCTTCCTGCTTGTCTCAAGGCTGCTTTTAAAAGTGGGGGCTTCGGGGTTGGGGCGTATAGGCTTACAGGCTTTAAGAGGTTTTAGGGGTTTAGGGTTTAGGATTGCCTAAACCCTCAGCCCTAGATTCCGAGACGCTGCGGACAGGAAGAGCCCATGGCGCCTGGTGAGGAAGCGGAGCAGGCGTCTGGGCTTCCCTAAGGGTCCATGTACCTATATAGTATATACTTGGCCCCTAAAGCTACTATATAGGAACCCCTTTAAGGCCCAAGTATATACTATATAGGTACATGGACCCTTTGGGCTTTAGGGTTCAGGGCGTGCGTGGCGCCTAGTAGTGCCCTTAGCGTTTAGGATTCGGGTTGAGGGTTCAGAGTGATGGGGCTCCGCATTTGACAGGGTGCAACGAGCTTCCGTCACAGGACCTTGAACATCCGAAACCCGAAGCCCTGAACCCTGAAACAGGAGCTCCTGGCTTTTGTCCAGCAGCTCGGGGTTCCGGCCTCGGGAATTTTGGCTTGAGGGTTTTAGGGTTTAGGGGTTTAGGGGTTTAGGGGTTTAGGGGTTTAGGGTTTAGGGTTTAGGCCACTCTGCTGCTGATTTTGTCTTCGCCGATTCATGTGCGGCGCCGGCAAACCACTGCGTGTGTGCTTGGGGAACGCTAGACCCCAACCCCTTCTTGAGTCGGAGGCAGAGTTCCACCCACGGTGAACATTGAAAAATTCGTCGGCCCACCCCCA